ATATATATATATATATATATATATATATATATATTAGATGCTCAAAGCAAACAACAGTACACGTATGTGTACAAAAATATTCTCCGCACGGAGAGCAAGCTAACTGCGAACACAGAAACCAGGAGGTAGATATATGTATATAATATATATAATTTGCTTCTTTTAGGATGCATTCTGGTGTCTTATGCGTCCTGTGTTTGTTGAATTTGCCGTCAGATTGATATTCGCAGCAACGGCCTCCTAACCGAGAGAGGGGCCCTGTCTTTAGCTGCAGGCAGGCGTTTTCTTCCTCTTCATTTTTCCTTTGTTGATGATTTGCAGACAACATAAAGAAATGCAACACTTCAAGGCTCTGCACTGGCACTGCACATTACGAACAAAACAGAAGATATCGGCAGCAGCAGTAGCAGCAGCATCAGCAACAGCAGAACTACTTCCTAAGTTGCGGAGAATTATAAGATTCAAAATCAACGTGTACTTTTAGAGATACATTACCGTTATCCCTATTATTTGCATTTCTACCAGTAGTACGTGCAAGTAGTGCAGCTATTCTGCGCAGACGTTGGATTCCTGCTGCCGCTGCCGCTGCTGCTGCTGCTGCTGCCTCTGTATTCACTCTACTTTCAACATTAACATTGTTTTTAGCTCTTTACATTCAAGTCGAATGCGGAATGTGAACGGATGCCTGGTGCGGCAGTCGTTCCCAACGTTCCCCTGATCAGTTCTCTTGACGAAATGTTTGATTACACGTGTAGATGATGGGCTGGATAAAAACAAAAACAAAAGTCAAACAGATATGCAATATGTTCATTACTTATGTCATTCATAGTATAATCAGCAAGCTTCCACTGCAGTAAACAAAAACGTGTTGTGGTAGGCGACCCCACAGAGGCGCAGTGCGTACTGTGGAGGGAGAAAAACAGGAATTTGAAAGTTTTCCCTATATATTTAAAAAATAAAGTTGTTTGCTATATGTAAAAAACGCGAATGTACTGTTTTTGTCGCACGGGTGTATACGTACAGCAACTCTGTGCAGTTGTGAACGGCGGTGGAACACAGCAAAATTGAACCGAAATTATTCCTCTCTTTTGTTGAGTAAACTGAATGATCACGCTGCATTTGAATAACAAATCAATTAATATATTAAATTTGATCCATTATTCACCCCCTTTCAACATGGAACACGGCAATTAGCTCCAGAGGCTGTGCATTTTCTTGTAGGTGGCTCAGGGTTCAATCATCTCGTTGGGGGGGCCCACTGCCGGTTCTCGACAGTTTTTCTCCTCTCACTTCTCGAATAACCCATTGTTTTTTACGAAATTCATATATTAATATCTCCATCCAGTCGCTTGTTTGCCCTACAAGTGCTTCTCCCATTTGGAGTCGCCAGCATGAATTATTGTGCGGCTAGTCTTGCGTGCAGCTGATGCGTCTAGAGTGCATTATTCGATGCATTTGCAAGATTTTCAATTTATTCCGCTTTAACTGAATGAAGTACCCTCGAGATCAGCACAGCAGCAAATGATCAGCTGCAGACTTTCTTCTGAAAGGTATCACTAACCTTTCCCGAGCCATTTCGCCTGCGTGCACAATGGAGAGGTTTTTATGGAGTCAGGTGGACCACAGGAGCGACGGCATTAATGCAGAAACAGGAGACAAGAGCCTCCAAGCAGGCCCCTTAGCACATACAGGGGTATCAGAACCTTCGTATGCTCCAGGTTCTCCTACAACGTGGGAGACCTACACAGCGGTGCATGATACAACCCTAAGTTCACAGGTTTCCAGTGACTCCTCAGAAGATGCGGATAGCTGGGGGCGTGCGCAGAAGGGGAACGAGGGCGGGGGCCCCAAACATACCATAGAAGAGGTGGGGGGCCCCGAGGCAGTGGTAGAAAAAGTCGGTGGTGACACCGAGGCAGAGGTAGTAGTGACACCTGAGGGGGACCGCGAGGCAGCGGTAGTAGAACTTGGGGGGGCTTCCAAGAGGCCAAGCGGAAAAAGGATTTCTCTTCGTTGGAGTCTGTCTTTGATTGCATTTGTGACGCTCTTGGTTGGCTTAATGACGTTCAAAAAACAGCAGGCTCAGCTCCCAACAGGGCATAAAGAAGAAGCAGCAGCAGCATTAGTAGCAGCAGCAAAAGCTGCAGCTGTAGGAAAGAGGAGGGACCGAAGTAGTTTATTCACATCCCAGCACAGTTCATATGATCCTAAACGCAGGAAAGGAAAGAAGACAGAGAAAGGTGGTGGTGTGGATGCAAACACAAAGGATCTATTTGATAAGGAAACGGAAGAAGCGCTTATGTCTACGTTAGATGAACTTGAACGAATATTGCAAGAGGAGGAAACAGATTTTAGCTCGCCGTAGGTGTCTAAGACAATAATAAAGATAATACAGGCAGGCAATACAATATGCCTCGAACAACAGAAACAAACAATACCTCGTAGACTTCCCCCTTCAACGCAGCAGCAATACGAAAACCAACAAAAACACAGGAGTGCTTTTGTTGGAGGCCTAGCAAAAACAACGAACACAAATTATGTAAATGCGCAGTAAAGGAAACAAATACAAAGACAAATGCAGACCTCCCCAGGTATGCAGGTGTATATTGTGCAGAGAGACCGACATCGTACTATCGCAAGGCCTACTGCAAACAATCTTCATCTTGTTTGCCTAGACTGTAAAATATACTATATATATGTTAAGTATATTACATATGTTTCCTTATTTGCACTTACATTTTTCTATAAATATATGCATATAAACACAGTGAGCTGAACCCCTTCCGTCCCTAACGTGCTTAGGGGCCCCCTCACTAGGGTCGCAGTTTGCCTATGAAGGCCTCTGACTTCTTTTTCAAGAGTCCAACTTAATGGATTTAATCATTTTAAATTGGTGGATGCAACTGCAACAAACAACACACCGAAGGTCAACACCAGACAAAACAAAGACAACCACCTATATATATACATATATATATATATATATATATATATATATATATATATGCATATAGGTATGTAGCCAGCCAGCTAGCTGAATAGCTTCCAGACACCACCAAGCTAGCCAACTAGCAATGCAGCTAGCTAGCTAGGTTCCCTGGAGCATGCGTTCGAATACTTGACCTGATGAACTAGCATCTGTACTGCATACATAAAGAAGCGTGCAGAAGAACAGAAGCAAATAAAACGTTACAATCCCTCCACCGCTTCATCCCCCCTGCTGTGTCTGCCTCCTGTTTGTCCTCTCTGCCAGCCTTTCATTTGCCTGCCTTTCCAATGAAGATGAATCAAAATAACATCTGCACAAACAGCCGCTGCTTGTCTAATAGAAGCCCCTAGGGTCTAGAGTTTATTTCGGGTCTAGGTTTTAGGGAAGAAGGGCCGCTGTTCAATAAAACTCCGAGGTTGTGTGTCTACACGCAAAGACGAATTACATATAATGTAATTCTATGTACAACTACAATGAAATAGAACAACAGCAAGGGCAGCAAAGAATAAACAACAGCTGCAGCGCCAGGCTGCTGTTGTTCGAGTTTTGTTTAATGATTGAAGTAAATACAATGTGTTGGTGCTGGAGTAGAATAAGGGGAAGAAAAAACAGTTGTCATAAGCAGATGATGAAGGGTCTATTTGAACATGCTTTTCTGTGCAACAGAAACTGCGGTTCTTTGAAATGCACAGCAGTTGTTGTTCATTTCAATAAACCGTTTATTCATTTATTGATGTACCGCATGCAGCTAGAGGTGCATGTAATCGTTAATACTATGGCAGTGTATCATTTGATTAATATGTCTTATGTTTGTTATCCAGTTAAATAGACAGTACGGTGAGTTTTAATATAGAATGTGTATTTATTTCCATATGATTTACACGTGCTCTGTGATGTTTATACTTCAGTTTATATAAAGCATGCATCACTTGCATGCGTTATATAAATAGTGTGTTGCCTTATGTAATACACATATACATATATACATTGTATAGCTCCACGAAAATTTACATGTGTTGTTTAATTAATTCTTTTAGTTTGTTCATATCGGCAGAGAAATTTCGTATTCCTTCTGCTAGTTTCTCAGTCGCCATTGCGTCTTCGTTGAGCATCCATCTAAATTTCTTTTCATTTATATCTAATTTCTGTATCTTTTCCTTTGCAGCCAACTGTACAGACAGCCGGGTTGACACCTCTTTGTCCTTCAATTTGTTCAACTCCTCCAACAACTTGGGCGATATCGTCAGTTTATCGCACCCAGCCAAATGCAGAATTTCGTCTGAGACAACAGAACAACAGAAAGTACTTCTATGTTCAATCTATATTCTTCTATACGAAGGACATAACATAAATATACACATAGCATACATATAAAAGATTTACATATATATATATATATATATATATAAAGTAACGATATAAACAAAGCGAATATACAACAATATGCTGTACGCGAAAATATAAACGTGAATGGAATTCAAATTAGGGCGTAAGCCGAAGCCACACGCGCACCTTGCACTATTTATTTACTTATTTACATCTTATTCATTATATATATATATTGTACACAGCGGCGATATAAATAAAACACCTAGACAGTATTCATATTGCGTAGACACAACAAAACACGAGATAAAAACTACAGGAACTAAGACATTTTGTTTATTCTGTGCAGATAATACACACAAAATGAATCCAACTGCAGATACCAATGCCACTACACAAACAAAGTAAATTAAACAGCCAGCCCGAATACTTCTCTAATACAAATACACTCAGCATATTGTCTAAGCATAGCCCGAATACTTCTCTAATACAAATACAAGTGAGTCGCGCTTGAGAGCAGATAATATATATATATATATATATATACATTTATATTATTTGCTATGAAGAAGGTGAAACCTCCTACCTGTGTTTCTAAAGGAGGCCGCCATGACGGTTGTTTTGCTTCCGAAGTGTTTAAAATAATTATAAATCTGCCTAACGCTCTTTACTCCAGGGTCGTCAGCACCTGAAAAGGAAGCCTTTGGGTCCTTCAATTTATACCAATCTAAAATGCGGCCCACGAAAGGAGACACCAAATACGCACCCGCATCGCTCGCTGCTATAGCCTGATGTTCACACCACGCAGCACATATATACAAACAACTAGCCTTCTATGCATGCATGCATGCTTGTTTGTTCATGCATGCATCGTCTTGCTTCGGCATGCATGCATGCACTTGTTTAGGTGTGCATGCGTTGTCTTGGTCATGCATGCATGCAAGCTCTCTCTTTTGATATGTATGCCGCATCGAACACAAAGAGGAGACGACAGAATCAACAAAATGCTGGCTAGAGGAAGCAACAAAACGCCAGCACAGGTGCATGCATACATGCATGCATCTATGCATGCATGCATGCAGAAATCAGTCGAAAAGAGCAGCTGCAGCAACACGAACACGAAAAAGAAAAGTAGCAATAAAAATAACAGGTGTAGCCGTATGCGTAGAAGAGAAAAGAAAAAGAACACATAGCCCTCCAAGTCGTACCTGGCAGAGACTGAAGAGGAGAGTAATATTGCAATTAATATTTTCTTCTTTAAGCTGCTTTGCCGCCTGAATTCCTTCCCAAGTTGCTGCGATTTTAATTAAAATTCTTTCTCTAGATATCCCCTTCTCCTCGTACAAACTTATTATGCGGCGAGCGCGCTCCACTGACCCTAAAAAGAAAACAAATATATAAATAAATCAACAAAGTCAACAACTCATTAGCATTAAACGGAATAAATTATAGACACTAACAATACAATATAAAACAACAAATTAATAAAACAATAAAATAAACAACAAACCAACTCTAAACAGAGCATACCCCTGAATATCCTCTTCCATTACAATATATTCTAATAACTAAATAATTGACTACATCAACTACACCACTATATATGTACGCATCTATATATTATATACATCATCTATATATTATACACATTATATCTATTATATATAATATGCATATTATTTTGTTACCTTCTTGATCAAAGGAAAGATCCGCTGGTATTTCGGTGCTGACGAGGCCCGGAATAATCTCCAGGAGTTCCATTCCAAAGAAGACCAACACACGATCAACTGCATCCTCCACTGTCTGTACACCTCAAGCCAAGCGTAAACAAGAAACATTCTCCTTTAAACAGCAGTCAATACACGGAAGAAATGCTGATCAACAATAATAATGGTGCCTTGGTTCCAGGAGACCAGGAGAAATAATAACAATAATAACAATAATAATAATAGTAATAATAATAAATGATTGCTGCGGTTAATGTGGATGAACTCATGAACTCAAGGACGCACAACATCGGCAGGTTTCCCCTTGGTGGCTTCTTTTGCCTCTTTGACTGCCTTTTCTAAAACGTGCTTATACTTCGGGTTGTGCACAGCTTGTAGCACGAGGGTGGGGTTGGTGGTGGCGTCTGTAGGGCTGAATTCCTTAATGGCTTCAAAATCTGCGGAGTCTGCAACGATGGTAGACAGCTTCGCCAGCTGAGCAAGAGCTGACGATCCCCCTGCGTTGCTGTTCGCTGCTGCAGCAGCTGATGCTGCATTGGCTTTTTCAGAGGTACGCGAAACCTTCTGGGAAGGGCCCAGGCCAGGGGAATCCGTGGAGCCCCTCCGCTTCTGTCCTGCCTTGGTGCTTGGCATCTTCTGCAGGCAGAAAACGCAGCACAACCTTTTGCAAATCACTCACATGCACATACCCACCAGCGCCTGCGTGCTAAGTTAAAAGAAGACTCTTCTTAGCTTCCAAGGCAGCTGCTGATGTCGCGAACAAACGCTGGCGGTTGGTTGATGCGGCACCTCGTGTTCAAGCGACATATCTAGGATGTCCTCCTTGAAGCGAAAAAAACGACTAAGTGAAGAAATATTTCAGATAAACTCAACAACACCCTCGCATATCTCACAACAATACAACTCTGCCTGCCATTGCTGTCTGACACAACCAGTCAACATCCGCCTGTTGTTCATGCAAATAGAAGCCGCAAGAAGAAACACGTTCTATGGGACACACCCGTCTGATCGTCTAATTCTTGGAATAAATCTCCGATCTATTGTGCTAAATAGTATATAAAAACGCCAATTCTCTCTGCTTTTCTCCGGTATAAAGGTGTAGTTAACCACTCACTGCCTTGAAGCGCAGACGCTCCTTAACACGTCCTGGTGTACGTACACTCCGGCTACGCCTACTACTGCCGTCTGAATCGTTCAAATTGTGGTTGCAGGAAAGCAGGTTAATAGGGCATTTCCCCCCCATTCCTTGCTTGTTTTATAACAGGAAAACAATTAAACACCTTCTCATCGTTTGCAAGCCGCCGTTCCCCTAAAGCGGCAAAACACCTACATTTCTCGTTCTTGTGTGTATGTCTGGCAGAAGATCGGCGATCAGCATACCGAGTGCTTCGAAATCAACGGGTTGCAAATATCAATTTTTACATATTTTAATCCTCACCATAATTTCCAGCGTTTTTCTTTTTTAATCTCATAAAGCCAACAAATACAAGCAAACGCCGCCCTTCGCCACTCCCCTTCCCTCACCCCGTTAGGAAGAAGAAAGCGCTGGCTGACTGCACGCGAAGCCACGGGAACTTCTTCGTGCGCTGGTGTTCATCGAGTTCTCTTGCTTCTTTCTTCATCCTTTCCATCAACTTATTAGTTGCAATAAAAGAAAGACTCCCGCACATTAGCTGTTTCCGTAGATTCATTTAAATCCAAAGACAAGAAAATGCCGTTCCAGCTGCCGCCGCTGCCCTACGCGAAGGACGCGTTGGAGCCGCATATAAGCAAAGAGACACTGGAGTATCACTATGGCAAACATCACGCGACGTATGTTAACAACTTGAACAGTACGTACAGCCCAACTCGTTAAAGCCTTTCACACAGACAGACAGCAGGATTTGTTTCTATAAAGGAGAGGGGACACGGACAGACTCCACTGTCGTCATGTGGGTCGGTCTGCTTTTGCACCTCTTGTTGTCTTATTTGATGCTTTTTTGATTGTCAGTTTAAACTGCTTTCTATAGTTTCAACCTGGAAGTGCTGAGGTGTATGTACAGCATGCGTTCATTCAACTGGTTCGGGTGTACACACGTTGGTTGCGCAGGGCTTACGGAAGGGAAAGATGAGGCGTCAAAGAGTCTCGAAGGTAAGGATTTACCTAAATGCATTGCTGCCTCTGCTGCTTCTTCTACTGCTACTGCTACTGCTGCCGCTCTACGCTCCAGTTGTGCCTGTTTATCAGCAGAGGTGCTAGTCGCAGTGTTTCATATCTTCTGTTCCCTCCTATAAATATGAAGCATTTTTATTCATGCCAGTCTACGGCTGTAACTTCATCTGTTTGTTTGCTGGGGTTTTGTTGTTTGTTGTTAGTAGGCGTTGCTGCAGGGTAGATGATGTTGATTCTTTGCTTGTCTCTTCGTCAATTTGGCTGTATTGTTCTCGCTGTAGTGTTTGTCGTAATTTAGAGTGGAGCAAGAGCAGGGCGTCTGTCTCTTCTTGTTTCAGTGTTTGCCTGTTGTATTGTTTGTCAAGATTGAGTGCCGACTAAGAGCAGATTTTCTGTCTTTGTTTGGCTGGCTTTCTGCTGTGATTTGGTTTTGGAGTTTTGTTGTTTATTATAATGATGAAGAGCATGCTATCTCTTTTCTTGTTTTGTTTGCTGTTCATGCCTACTTTCTGTAATGCTTGCTGTTCATTATAATTTAGGGTTAATGAAGAGCACAATATATTTGTCTTACCTTGAATTATTGATTATATATCATAGTGATTATATATATAGCTGTGGAGTAGCAGATATTATCTGTGTGTGTGTGTGTGTGTGTGTGTGTATGTGTGTGTGTGTGTGTGTGTGGTGTATATATATATATATATATTGACGTGTGTATATCTCTGTGTATTGTACCGTTATATGAATTGTTTTGTTTGTTTTCTTTGTTTGTTTGTTTATTATTATTGCTTTAGATTTGATTAAGACAGCATCCGGGGGTATATTAAACAACGCCGGTCAGGTGTACAACCATACATTTTACTGGAATTCTATGAAGGCAGGAGGAGGGGGTTCTCCAACGGGTTTAATTGCAGGAGAGATAGAGAAGAGCTTTTCTTCTTTTGAAGCTTTTAAAGAGCAGTTCTCTGCTGCTGCAGCTGGGCACTTCGGATCGGGTTGGGTTTGGCTTTGTTATTGCGGAGAACAGAAAAAAGTTGTTATTACACAGACACACGACGGAGGTGTACCGTTCAGAGATAATTCAAAGTGCTTTCCTCTCCTCGCTTGTGATGTATGGGAACATGCTTATTACATAGATAGAAGGAATGATAGAGCAGCTTATGTTAAAGGTAGGACCCTTGTTATATGCGGCTAACGCTGCTGATGCTCCTGCTGCTGCTGCTGTTGGGCCTGCTGCTGCTGCTCTTGCTGATGCTCATGCTGCTGCTTTGTCTATATATATATAAAATGTATATACGTATTCATTCTAAACATGATCATTAGCACATGCACAATATAAACTGTGCATATATGTGAAGTGCGTATGCGTATAACATGTGTGTATATATATACCTATATGTAAACATATATAAGTTTATATATGTTTAGGGTTTAGGGTTTAGGGTTTAGTAATAAATGTTGATTCATACTTTGCACAATTTATGTTTTGGTTTTGTTCAGCGTGGTGGTCGTTGGTGAATTGGGACTTCGCGAACGAAAACCTGAAAAAGGCAATGGCAGCCTAAGGCGATGAAGGAAGAAGAAAAAAAGATTAAAATATAACAATTAATTAATTTAAAAAGTGCTGAAGACGTAATACTTTATAAGAAAGAACAGGAACAGGGGGCAGGAGACATATAATATATATGTATGTATGTATGTATGCATATATGTATATATATATATATATATATATATAGAAAGTAAACAAGAAACTGCTGAGGGTTTTAAATAGAGAAGAGAATGATGCAGAAAAGGGCTGAGGGGTAAATATATAAGAAAGACGCGGAGGGGACTTCAATTGCAAATAATCAAAGTTATTAATTGCCGGTGTTTAGAAGGAGAAAAGAAGCGCAAATGCAATTAAATTTAACGACGCAGCGAATAACGATGAAATTTCAGAAGATGTAAATGAAGGCACAAGACAAGCAAAATAAAAAAAGGAAGAAAGCCTGTGTGATGCATGCATGCATGCATGCATTTATGTATTTAAGCATAAACGTATATGCATATGAGTCTATGTACATCAGTATACTTATGTTTATATACAAATGGAGGAGGTAAGGAAGTGTGCAGGTGGTTCTCTCTTTTTTGTTGCAACTACACCAGAAGACAGACAAAAATGCAGCTGAGGGGGAGTCAAGCGCTTAACTGATAGCCCCTGCGTGCGTGTGCTTGAGAGGTAATATAATTTTAATATTAATATTATTAATACTACTTATAATAATAATCGCAATAATTATTTATACTATTTGTAGGAAATATAAGTGCATGCACTACAGACAGCGCCAGCAGTGAGGCGCATGAAGGAAGGGGGCTTGCTGACTACATATATATTATATAATGTATATAATATATATTATATATTATATATAATATAAACCCCGTCGTTGCATGCAGCAGTACAGCGCTACTACTATAATCACTTGGAGTTCCGTTTGCAGCGTTTTCTTCTTTTGTTTGTAATTATTTAATTGAGAAAGTTTGCAATGCACAACAACCAGCAACAAGTCCTTTTGTCACCCTCTTTGTTGCGTTTCATTAACCCAGTTGTACTATGGCAAATAGTAAAAAATTATAAATAGTTATAGATAATTAGTAAGTTATTATTATTGTCAATATTTGTAGTTAAGTATATTTATGAATAACTACAGGTATCTATAATTGTTCATAATTATTATAATTAATTGATGTTATAATTATTAATTGTAAGTGTATAGTATAATTATGATGATGGCGTTAGTATTCGGTGTAGAACAAACGAAGCAACAAAACCACCGCCAGTTTTCTTTTTCGGGTGTACGTACATACACCAGGCGACCCTAAACGGCTTAGAAGAAGAAGCAGTTTGTATTTAATGTAGCAGCAAACATAGGGAGAGAGACGTGAAGAAAGTTCAAAGGGAGAGAAAAGTATATCACTGGAGGGTAGGGAGTAGAGGTGAAGAGATAACGAAAGAAAAAAATATAGGAGAGATTGTCAACGAACAAAACCAGGAAAGAAACAGAGAAAGAGAAGTAAATATATGAAGTGTAGGAGAGACAATTAATAAGCAAAACGGGTGAAGAAACAGAAAAAGAGAAGCAAATGGAATGTACAAAGTAGAGACAGTTAAGAACAAAACCAGGAACGAAACAGAAATATATATATATATATCTATATATATATATAATGTAAAAAATTGTAAGAGATGATTAATAAGCAAAACGAGGAAAGAAGCACAGAGGAAGAAAAAAATGAAATAAATAAAATATTGGTGAGGTAATTAGTCAACAAAACAAACAAAGAAGCAGAACGAATATATATATATATATATATATATATGTATATATATGTGCATATAATATATCTATGCATATTATATATACCCATAGGTAATTTAGGAAGGAGAGACTTTTCTATTTATACGCAATAAGGAGACAGTCGGCTGCACTTTTTAATAAATAAATAAATATATCTTTTTAATGTTCAAGTAATAATAATGCACTTTCATTATTTTAGTGCTGCATTCTTCAGTGTTACAGAAGTCAACGGCATTACATTTTGCTTTTAATTATTTAATGCAGTATTTGTTTATCTCTGCTTGGATTCCTATATGAAGAAGAAAAAGAAAGAAAATTATTTCTGTCTAAAGTAGAAGGTCTATCGGGGAGGAGAGAGCAGAGAAAATGTAAAGAAAAGGACTCCAGCGCCAGCAATTAATAATAATAATATTAATAATAAAATTATTAAAAGAAATAAAGAATTACTACTAAATGTAGTAATATTAATAATAAAATATTGATACTCATACTAATAGAAATAAAGAATTACTACTAGTAATAATGCTATTATTAGTAATAAAATTATTATTAAAGGAAATAAAGAATTACTACTAACTGTAGTAGTATTCATATTAATAATAAAGCATTGATACTCATACTAACAGAAATAAAGAATTGCTACTACTAATAGTAGTAATAGTATTATTA